CATTTTAATATTTAATTTGATTAATATTTTATATATTTTTAAAATAATAAAAAATATAAGAATTAAAAATAAATATTAAGAAACATTGTTAAAATAAATTCTAAACTTACGTGAAAACATAGCAACACTGACTTAAGTAGGGATGGCAATTTCCTCTACGACCTGTGGAGGTTCACGGAGATCCCCGTCATGAGAATGGAAATTTTAAGAATATTTTTTTTCATGGAGCGGGGATGGAGGTATTTTTTTTCCCATGAAATTTTGTGGGAAATTTCCTTCACCCCGTAAGTAATCGTGGGGATCCATATAAAATAAAAAAAATATTTATAAATATATCAACAATTAATTTTTACTTACTCAATCTAATTAGCTAACCCAACACCAATACAACCTAAATTTCACAATCCATTCTTTTTTCAATTTTCCCAAACCTAATTGTCAAGTCTAGCCTATTCTTTTTGTCAATCTAGTCTTCCTAAACCTAATTGCCCAACCCATTTTGCATTGCTAACCCTAGAAGGACTATCCAAAAATTTCAATTTCAAATTTGTGATTCCTCTTCTTCGGTCTCTTCTGTGGCTCTACGTTATAACTTTGTTTTTGCTCCTCAATCCTCATTTATGATTCTCTTCAAGCTTTCACCGTCACTACCCATCGTGCAACCACTGCAACACTGATCTTCTCCCATCTCTCACTCACACTCGACTCGATAGTTCTTCTCCAATCTCTCAACCAGTCACTAGTAACTCATCTCTTTTATGTTGTTTTTCTTAATGAACTTATTGCTGGACATGTGTAGCAACAATTTATGTATTTTTTTTCTGTGAACTTTGCTGATGACAATTGCAGTTTATGCCTTTTCTTTTTTATGAACCTTTTATTGGATTTGTTGGACTTATATGGCAGTGTATGCCTTTTTTCTTTATGAACTTGTTGCTGACTTGCTGGACCTGCTTGACATGTATATATTAGCTGTGTATATTTACTACTTGTTTGTCTTGTTTCAAATTTTTACTTTATATGATTATTTGAACTAGTTTTATTTAATAAATGTGGAAACTAATGGAGTCTAAGTAGACTGATGTTGAGTTTAGTTTTGATTAACAAATAGTGGAGGAGATGATAGTTTTATTTGATGGAGACTCCGAATACCCATGGGGATCTATCATTCCCCGCGGGTATGGGGACGAAGGCTATTTTTGAACTTCCGCCAAAAATCCCCGTAGGAATCCCCGTACCTACCATTGGCGGAGATGGGGATGGAGAAGAGGTCCCCGCCCTCGTGGGGACCTGTTACCATCCTTAGACTTAAGGTATGTTTGGGATTACAGTTGGACCTTTTTTGTGTAGCCATATAATATTTTTAAAGATGTGTATATTTGATAATTTTTTTTCAAATTATTTTTTTAAAAGCTGTAAAAAATCACAACAGATTTATAGTAATTTTATGTATAAAATTAAAAGTTTCATTTTAAAATTTTTTAACCATAACTTTTACGAAGAATACTTAATGTTTAATATAATTATAAAATTACTCATTAAAACTTAATTTCATATAATTTAATTATATCATAATTTATA